TACTAAACATTAAAAAAAACATTTCTTTTGTGCGAGACCAAATAAAATATCTCCTTCTTCTCCTTCTTCACAAATCCACCAAGGAACACACACCAAAATTATCAAATACACACAAAATATTCACAATGGAGCCAGAAAACAAGGAAATGGTGGTTTATGAGGGTGGAGAACGCAATGAGGTATATTTTTACCGTTTATTTTATTGTATGGATCGTTCTTATTTAGGAAAAAAAAGTCACTGATCGATACCAAAAATCGGTCTGTAAATACCGATTTTTGTTACAAAAATCGGTAAACTCACACCGATTTTTGTAATAAAAAATTGAATTTTGGAGACCGATTTTGTTGGACAACATCGGTGCAGGCATGCCGATTTAATATATAAAAATTGGTCCGAGTTTACCGATTTTGGTCAAGAACGAACAAACCAAAAAAATCCAATTCAATCTCAAAATTTTATCCAAGATAGATGAAACCATTGCAACCCATCAAGAAATAAGTATAAATTAATGTTCACCAAGCACATTTATCAAGAATCAATGCTCGATTAATGTTTTTGAATTTACAAACAAAAGGATTTACTTGTTGGTGGCGGTGGTGGTGGTGTGCAAGTGGGTGGGTTGTATGTCGGTGCCGGCGATCCTCGGTCGGCATCGCGGCGTTGGTGCAGCGGCGGTGGGTCGGCCGTTTTTGTTTTTTGTTTTCATTTTTCTTGGTTGGTTTAGAAAAAATTTAAAATAGGAATACAGTGTTTGTGTTTGTATTTATTTTGATAGTATTTGTGGATGAGGGCATATTCATGATCTTTGGTCTTAATATAAGAAACTTAGATTAATTTGTGGGCTTGAACTAACGAACTTTGTCGTGTATATTTCAACAAAGAAAAAATGGGCTTGCATATATGCGCCGCCTTCAAAATTCAAATTAAATAGTGCTTAAGGAGGTATGATTGTGTTTTAAAATTTAAGATACAAATTAAATAGGATTCGAGGGGTAAGTTCTTACAAATGATACTCCAGAAAGGTAAGTTTTACATAGGCTATACTATAAGGGTCAAAAAGTATTTAACCATGATTTTTTTTTTTGGGTAATATGCTATAGGTCCCTAGTTAGAAATATAATTAAATGTGCAATACAATCCTAATATTTTTTTATGAACTAAATCTTTTTTTAAAACAAATATGACTCACTCCTTAATTTTTCTTCTATCCCGAATTTGCCCTTAACCTAAATCCATAATTACTAAATTCACGTCTCTCTCTCTCTCTCTCTCTCTCTCTCTCTCTCTCTCTCTCTCTCTCTCTCTCTCTCTCTCTCTCTGTCTCTATTATTTTTCTTTTTGTGTTTTGTTTTTATTGTGGATATTATTATATTTAATGAGGTAGGGGGGGAAATGAGGGGAGGGGGGGGGGGGGGGGGTTTTTTTTTTGTTTTGGTTAGTACTTTTTTTGGTTATTAGCAAATGCATCATTGGCCTTTTTTTCTTTT